GGCTCAACTCGTTGTGAATGCGGTCTAAAGCTCTTTTACAGCTGATCCAATGATTTGTTCAGTTTATCCCTTGGCATGTTGACTTTATTTGAGTTGTATAAGAAACGACTTTATTTGAGTTGTATAAGAAACTAGTAGAAGTGGTTTATAATATGTGTTACTGGGAATCCACGCTCTGCTGTTGCTCGGTTCATATGTACCTTTGAAGGGATAACAACTGTTCATATGATATCCATATTTCACAATAAATGCATTATAAACAACTCATCAAAATATTTATTTCATAAATTCTATTTTACCTCTAAAACGGCAATTAACACAGTAATTTTGGAATTTGTGCTTGCCATCACATCATGTGACCTCCATAGATAGCTGCACTCTGTAATAATCTCTTAAGAGAATCTTACAAAAAACCAAACTTTTTAGAAAAAAAAAGAACAGGGACAAACCTTGAATGTCAGAATAGATTAATTAACCATTAGTAAGTATGGAAAAGTTGTTGATTACCCCATGAAAATTCATTTTTTGGCCAAAGTTGTTTTGAACAGTTGTTATCTCTTTAACTAATTTAAATATTTTATTTTTTTCATTGCTAACAATAATGATAATTATAATATGTTTTGTATGATGGATTAAATAACCCTGGACAACTGTGTTGTTATTATATTCTATTAGATTTCACAATGTTAGCAGGTTTTTAAGAGTAATCTTAACAGCAAGTTTTAATATAATTATGAGCATACATTGACGTGCAATCATGCACACAAATACATGCTTGAAAACAAGGGCACAAGTCATATTTGATTTTAGATATAGTTTAAGGCTAACTAAAGTGGACCACTGTTCTGCTTAGACATATATATAGGCATGGACATAAATAATGGGTCGTTACAAGTTAAGATTTCCTCTTTTTCCTCGCAGTAGGGTTTTATCTTATTTTCTGGAAAATCAATAAATAAGATTGATTGATGTCAGCCTGTCTAAATATCAGTTGCTTTATTGATATCAGTTTGAAACTAAATATTTCACAGAGTTCTGTGTAAAAAAAATTAAAGGCGAGAAACAGGTAAAAGCAATGAATAGATGAATTAATGGAGGGATGGAAGGATGAAAGAAAGAATTAAAGAATGAAAAGTTAATAGAATAAAAAAATGGCTAAAGAGAGAAAGAAAAATAAAAAGAACAACAACAGCAACAAAAAAAGAAGTTCAGTATTGGTTAAGAAATGTCTTAATTTTTGTCGTCACATTTTTGTTCAACTTTTTTGTCTTACACAGTTTCAGTTTTGGACCCCCCACAGTTTTTGAAGGACCTAACCTTTTGCATACTCCAGTAACCAAAGCTGTTGCTCTCCTCATGCATATTTCAAAATCTGAGTTGAGTGTGCATGCCTTTCTATTGAGCTGATATATAAAATCCAGACGTATCACCATAATATTAATATACAGGACGTATTTGTACCTAACTCATGTGATAATAATTTCAATCCAGGCAAACAAAATCTAGGACAGGCAAACATTTTTAAAGGCAAATGCCTGTCACTGTAGAACTGAAAATAAGAACATGCATAGTGGAGATAAGTGCCAGTCTGAACACTTCAACTCAGAGTTACTTGCCACAAACCTTGAATTCTGTCAACAGGATGTCCTTGATCCTGATTACTGCTATTCACCTCCCCCCCCCCCCCCACTCCCCCCTTTTCAGAGGCTAATGGAGGCATCAGAGACAAACTGATAACCTGGTTGTAAATTTTGAAACTCAGGGTGTGGGTGTCATTCACATTACCAGTAGAAAACACATTCCCATGTAGATTTATCGACTTGTGACATAATGTAAGGTCACTGGAAGTGAATCGGTCAGAGCCCACATATCTGTGTTACTGGGCAGACCTAATAACCAGATACACTCAGAATAGTATATTGACAAGCATTCAAACAGAAATATAATACAGATCTATGTAAAGATGTCTGTGTAGCAAATGATGATTATTTGGAAAAGACTATGAAAGTTGAAGAAGAAGCTTGAGATTTATAGGGTTATCAATAAATAGCAGATACTAAATGGATCTATAAGAGTTGACCAGTACGTAATTCATAGCCCTTTGGTGCAAAAAAGTTAAGGAAAAGAGCAGACATAAAAACAATTTTTTTTAAACCAAAAGGTACAGTAGTTCTCATATAGTGCATTTGCAGTGTTATTGTGGTTTTGCCACTTTTATCTTTAAAAATGCAGATCCAGTTAATTCTTTTCACATTCCTGCCATTATTTGTGAATGTAGGACATCAGATCTTGTCTTGTCCACTTTCAAGAGATTTCTGTTTTTATCTTCACGTAGGCGTGATCATCTGTTGCTTATTTGACAGAAAAATCAATCATTTCACGTATGAAAGACAAAACCCCTTTCTTTTCAGATCTTTTATCACTGTCTTAAGTGTTCTACAAAACCAAAATTGATTATAAGTTCAAGTGAACCCATGAATATTTTTCCAAACTCGAATATGGCACGCCCCAATAACCAGTTTCTTGTGTTTCAAGGGCACTTGTATGATAGAGCAATATATATTCATGACAGAAGGGAGTTATTTATGATGGTGACTTACACTTCACATACACAGCAAAGCATTGGGTTCGTGGTTAACCTTTTTTGTTTTGCAAATATGCAAATCCAAAAGTATGTGAAAACGATGATAAAAATATTGCAGCCAGTGACGGAAAAGATTGTTGCTTTTTTAAAATATTCTTGGACAAATGTTGTGCATTGACTTTGGATGTAAGTATCACAATGGAATTTTGGGGATCCTGATCCATTGCGACATTGATCCTAGAATGAACAGGCATAGTGCGTGTACTTTTCAAGTCATCTTTATTCCTGGGTAAGATCTGGGAGCCTCCAGCAGCTTGACCAGCTACCTGGGATGGCTATGTCCAGTCTTGCTTCTCTCAGAAAATACATACATGTTATAAAGCCTATTCCAACAGTGGACTATTGCTAGAGATAAATGGTCTTAATAACAGATAAGAAGATGACTTAAGTTGATAAAAATATAATGAAAGAGTGTGGTCAGAGACGTCTGGCTATACTAGCGGACAGACCGCTGTCAGTGTCCATTTACTGTCTAGATAAATGGTGTACCCTACCCATTAATTTTCATAGCAATACAGTTATGATATAAATTCTATGTCTTGTTCTCCATTTTCTTGTTCAGACAGTGTATCTGTGCATCTAGATCTGTGATCTGTGCTTTCACCGTGCACTTTCCACTGTTAACACAATCATTTTTCAGGATAGGTCACAAATGGGCCAAGGAAGAACTGATTTGATTTTGGTGATTATTAATTGATGAATAATGTAAATTTTCAGGATAGGTCAAAGGAGAATTGATTAGATTTTGGCAATTATTAATAAATTAATGGTTAATTATTACTTAATTATTGTACCACCAGCGTTAGCGCTGGCGGTACACATGGTTTCGGTCCCGTCCGGATCGTTCCGCCGGCTCGGCCGGCTCCGCCGGACGGCTACCGTTACCGCTTCTCCTCCTAGACGGTAAGGGCCCCCNTGTAGGGGGTCTATACGAATGCGCTTGCTCCAGCTGGTGGTACAATATTCGGAGGCGGTATCGCCTCTCTGATCCTCTAGTTTTCATAGCAATACAGTTATGATATAAATTCTATGTCTTGTTCTCCATTTTCTTGTTCATACAGTGTATCTGTGCATCTAGATCTGTGATCTGTGCTTTCACCATGCACTTTCCACTGTTAACACAATCATTTTTCAGGATAGGTCACAAATGGGCCAAGGAAGAACTGATTTGATTTTGGTGATTATTAATTGATGAATAATGTAAATTTTCAGGATAGGTCAGAGGAGAATTGATTAGATTTTGGCAATTATTAATAAATTAATGGTTAATTATTAGTTAATTATTTGTCTTGGAGGAGGTCGCTCTTTGAGTGCTTTTCTAGTTTTTCTTAAAGCTATTTAGATTTTTTTGTGAAATGTTCACTTTACACATATTGGCATTTCAGTGTTTTACTTTGAACGTTAATGGGCCTGAAGCTACATGCTAGTCATGTATTATGTTTCTTTGTGTGTGTGTGTGTCTGTGTGAGTGTGTGTGGGAGGGGGGGGGGGCAGGGAAATTGTCCTGATACTATGTTTTCCTAATATCCATGATACCAGTGGTGCATAAATAAAATTGTGTTGTTTTGCTCTTAAGCAGTATGCTAAATTGCATCAAAATTGACAAAAATATCCCATTTCACACATCATTATTTTCTGCTTTTTCTGTACATATGACAGATTTGCTGCCTTGTTTTCACTATTGAATTTAAAAGTTTTTCCACATTTTAATTAAAAAAAACTTGTTACAGCAATTGCAACAAGCAAAACATGTTGCAAGAACCAAAAGACTAATATAAAAAATTTTTTTTTAGGAGTGTTGGGGACATTGAAAAATTCATATCGGTTACTTCACGTAATGTCGGTTACTTCATGTAATGTCTTTGTTTGCAGTCCGTAATATCTTATAACACTGAGTAAAGTCTAAAGAGCCAAAGTAGGCATGTTAATTAATCTGATTAAGAAGTTAAGTTGAAAAAGCCTTGGTCATGGTTTGATATTTTGATATTAATTAAATTTAATTAATTTTAAAAAGAGTGGGACTCCTCACAAACGGGCAGAATGTACCTGAACAAGCAACGAGTGAACATTAAATGATTGAAAATGGTTGTTGTTGTCATGATTGGATTTCCTCATAGCGATTTACACGTATATATTTTGACCACGAATCTGGAAAGTATTATTAACATGTTATGCAACCTAAAAGTATACAACAGTAAATTTGCATGGTTCGGACAGGAGGAAAGTTCATAAACTTATATCAACACCACAAAGATGACCATCAATTGAATTGTGTTGGTTCCTCTTGAAAGCTGTCAAAGGAAGTAAGTAATGATTCTGCATCAGCTGTCAATGATTTACTTTCTTATTATTTCAGAATAAAGTGGTAGATGTAGATGGAACTAAAGTTAAATTACAGGTGAGTTGGTATTATTGTTTTGCTGTCAGATCTTAGAAGTTTATGATTATAACAAAATCCAAGTAAATCCTTTATTATGTTATTATTACATGTAAGGTGAATCAAAAGTCAACAACGAGTGCAGTGCCCACAAAGAAGCAGAGTTGGATGTATACATTGATCAACAGAATGTTCATTTGAAAGACGGCTGTCAAGAAGTAGTTCCACTGTCCATTGCCATTTCCATATTCATGTCTGGCTACCACACTTGTGTGCAATTTGCAAGTCTGAAATTGTCTGTGGGCGTTTGCAAGCATGGGAGGCAGAGATGTTATTGATATTGATTTTTGCAAATTGAATATCAGATGACAGGCCTTTTCATTAATTAAAACATTTCCTGCTCCATCAAGTATGTATTATCCAACTTTGCTTGTTCTAGATTGTTGATTTTGATTGAAAAAAAGAATTCACTTTTTGTTAAATAACAATGTAATGGTGGTCACTTAATACCTACCTGTTACTTGCAGAAATTTCATCAATGTCATTCTGATATATGTGTATTTTGTTATTGAATTGGTGTCATTTAAGGCGTGAATGTGTGTTTGTTTAAATTTTTTGTGATTGATGATAATGATGCTTTAGTTACAAAGTTACGTAGCATTTGTAGCTATACATTGGTTTGCAAAATCACTTTGCTTGGATTCAGCTAAAACTTGTAATGGCTTGCAACAATGTCTACCACAACTTCATATCAAAAGACTGGATATTGACAAGGTACAAGATGTTTCTTACAATGTCATGGGTAGATAGTAAGCTGTACATGTATGATGAAATGACTTTGCAAATTTGAGAGAATTGTCGAGTTAAATTTTGAGAAAAATTGCACTAACTTATTGTTTCTTGACATTTTCTCTCAAAGGACAATACATCCAGTTGAAAAATTTTGATGAAAAAGGAAAGAGTAATTGAGCAATAAATTATCTGACTCCAAGCATAAGCATTATTAACTAACACTGGAAACAATTTATCTAGAATTCTTTTGATACTAATAAACCGTCGTGACTTATAAAGTTAATATGCCAGTCCACATTTCACAATTATAGATCTTGCTTAGAATGCATGCATCAGTCTTTGACTTCTTCTACCCATTTCTGTTGTAAACATTTCAGAGATTAAATGTTTCTGCTCACTAAATCATGTAACTGTATATTGCACATGAATAATCATGTAAACTGCATGCAATGTCCAACCAACCAACTGAAACCTTGTCAGAAAGTAGCTGTTTATTATCTATTAAAGTCATTGATTTGAAGATTTAAAATTATAACTTAAACATCACAGCTTTTTTAAATCAGTATTTTCATTTTCTTAAAAGAGGGCCACCAGTAGCACTAGTTATTAAGTAGTTTCTACCATGTTGTACATAATTGTTTATATATGTAGTTTTTTTTTTCACAGACATACCTTTTATTACCTGCTTTTAACTACAACCATACACTTCTGAAGCATGCGTGTTTTGTGTTTTTGTATTTCTGCCAGATTTGGGACACCGCTGGTCAAGAGCGGTTCCGCAGTATAACGCGTGCCTATTACCGCGACGCACAGGGTATGTGACCTATAACCTTGACCTTTGACCTTTAATTGTGGGGAGTTGCTTGGCCAAAGGTAGCTTGCTTGCATAGAATTGTCACTCCTGAAAGTGACTTTGAGGGATTGGCACCTCATTAGCCTGGCATCATCTTTTGAGATTAAGATTATGTAATTTTGGTCACAACATCTGCTTTATTTGGTGCTTGTATTATCAGATTCAGAGGAGCAACTTTGCCATTATTTATCTCATCCTTTCAAGAAATTTCTTCTTATCCATGAGTTTTGTGAAAAAAAAAAAAACTTGAGTGCAAGCCAGCATTTTGGCAGAATCCATCCTTGTGTGTAGCATGTGTTTGGTGTTCTTTTAATTTTCTTTATGCAATTTCCATCCCTTATGGCTTTCCTAAGTAAATTTAATGTAGAAGCTGAGTTGGGTATGCATATGTTGTTTAACACAATTTATATCATGTAGAAAATCTAGGGCGTAATGAAATGAATCTGGAATAATCTTTTCAATTTCCAATAAGTCATAAAAACAAAACCATCCCACACTGTTGGGATAACAAAAAGGAACCCTCTGAATTAAAGATGGACAACCCATGATCCAGGTTGGGAGTACTGAGGAAGAAAAGCCATGTACATTCATTTTGGTACTGAATTATTTCTTCTGCTGTTGTCATCTCTTGGGAGACATCTTCATTATTCTGACACTTGCATGGCTTGCCTTGAATCCCTTGATCAAAGAAGTGCTAATTTACAATGGCACAAGAGTTAAAGTACATCAATGGAACTGCATTGATGCATTGAGGAAACAGATCATAGACATAGCCACCTTAGTCAGTGGTTACTGCAAACGGAAAGCCATCAATTTTCTTGTGAAAGTCTAACCCAAAGCTAACTTCACATTTGATTGAGAATATCAAGTCATTTAGTCGTTTGTAGCGTCTGTGTTGTATTACAAAATTGCAGATATTTTCCTGCTGGTTCAGAAAAAAAAAAGTCGGTCACTGGTGACATTGCTATGTACCAAAGAAAACAAATTACTATTTTTTTACTTTGGGAAAATAATCATAGGAAAATTTTGGATTTTCACATCATATTCAACTCTCATTTCATTTATGCCTCATCTTTAGTTTTAACTTATGTTGGCTTTTGTAGCGTCGGTGTTGTATTTATGTGGTGAGTGATATTACAGTGGTGGTGGTGTGTGTATTTTTCATAAGCAAGACTTAGAAACTTTAATGGTTATAGTTAGGAGACACCAGCAGTGCAGGTAAGGCAGATACATATAAACCTAATATGATGTGCATGCATGTGTATATGAACAATTTGGTTCTTGTGGTATATGCTGGTATGATGTACAGATGTGATATATGTAGTACTATGACATCACAATTGTGATATGACATCACACTTGTGTTATGTAGTGTTATGACATCACTGGTGTGTTATATATAGTGGTATGACATCACAGCTCTCTGTTGTCGTATTACAGATATGGGACACAGCGGGGCAGGAGAGGTTCAGGAGCATTACACATGCATATTACCGAGATGCACATGGTACAAATGCAGCTAATGATTTATGAATATATAGTTATAATGTATGTCGTAATGGCAGATGATGAAAGACCATGTCACATTGTACTACTTGAATGGTCTGGTACATCACAGCTTGCTTTGGCTGGCATCTTGTTGTAATGCTGCTCAGGTTTCACATTTGTTACTTCCCTAGCCAGTGTTTGCTTAGTTGTGATGAAAACTATGGAAAAAGATATAAACATGGAGGCAGTTTACAATATTTATAATGAAATATTGAAATGCTACATAAGATGTTTAACATACTATTATGTGTGCTCAGTTAAGCATGGTTTATGCTAACACATAAAGATAGTAAATTTGTAAGTAAAAGGAAATGCCAATATAAATAAATAAATAAATAAATAAATAAATAAATAGCCCAAGTACAAGTCAAATTGTAGGGCTGTAGGGATAAAGAATACGATAATGCACATATACACAAATACATGTTGGGCCATGTAGCAAAATTCTGGTAAATTACATTACATTTGTTGAGAGTCATCATCTGAAGAAATTACAGACTGGTGTCAAATGCAATTTTAAAGTGCAAGTTGTGTTTAAAACTGTTTTCTCTGGTAACTGTCAACCATTGCTTTAAGTTCAGCTTCTACAGGCAGGAAGTGCTATCATGCAATCCTTATTTCAGTGGGATTTTAATGCTATTTGTTTATAATATTTTGCTTAATATTGAACTTGTCAAAATCATAGGACATTTTATTTTTATGTGTAATAAAAAGAATGTTTAGATTTTCTGCAGTAGAAAAGTAAATCACATGCATATACACACATTTGCATACACGATTTGAAGTTGCTACTAGGTGGGGGGAGGGGGTGCATGTTGTATTTGCTTTTTCTATATTTCTACATTGTCCACTGCGTCAAATTGTGGCATGGTATGTGTATTTGTTTGCCACACAGTTGAAAGTGTCTTCATGCAATATCACTGCAAACTATAAATTTGATGACAAACTATACATAGTTTGTTTTACAAATTCAAATTTTAAAAAAATGTTTTTGTCTTTGTTGATATTTGCTTTGAATACCAGGATGTAGAATTTTTGTTAGTTGTCCATTTCTTAAATTTTAATTTAAAATTTGCTATTATACACATGGGATTTATGAGAAATCCCCCCTCCCCCTGTACCCTTACCCCCCCCCTCCCTTAATATATCAGAAACTGCTATTGGTCAGTGTTCTAGCTTACTCTAATGAGCATTTAAATTAGTGGTCTGTTTTGCAAAATATCAAAGTTGAAATCCGGTCTTAACAAAGTCTGCTACGTATAATAGTCAATTGGATTCTACAAAGAATCTGAAAGGCAGTTCATATCATTTTAAATTATGATTAAGTACCAAAAGCAAATTGTGATTTTCTTGTCTATTATTTTTACCCTTGGTAGTGACAGTAGCTATGGAAGGTATATTGGCTACATTTATAGTGAAAACCATCTTTTGTAAAACTCTGTTAGATCAATAGCCTGATTTTAACTGTTAAAGCCAAAACTAAGCACCAAAACAAAAGACTGAGAAAAAGTTCCAAGCAGGAAGAAGTATTCTAATAAAGGAATATTAGTACCTGATGTAGTGGTATATGTGTAGTGCATGTGGAATATGTGTATAGAACAGAGTGCATATGAATTTTTGCAACCATAGTATTCTTAAAATTTCTCTTTCCATGCAGTTTTACATATGTTGATTTAGAACAAAAACAGAATGTGAATGCAAATAATAGAAGTGATGTTTTATTAAGGGAAGCTTGAAGCTTAAAGATTTCAATGCAATTTCATTAAAATGTACAAGGGGTGTTTTGAAAATTTGACTGTAATAATGAAGGTTATAGAATTGTAACAGTGATAGATTAATATTTAATTTTACTCACGGAATTTTATGATTGATAGAATAATGAATTTTAAGGTATTATTATATCTGTTTGATTTGCATTGTGCATGATTATGGTTGATAATGTAATTGTTTCACAATTGTAGCGTTGCTTTTGCTGTATGACATTACAAGCAAATCAAGCTTTGACAACATCAGAGTAAGTAAAACAAGCTATTATATATTGCCCATACTGATGTAGTGTCAACTTAATAAAATCAAATGACAAGAATTATATTAAGAAATTTTACATCATATTAATTGAATTAGAAAAAAGAATTAAATCCCAGTTGTTTCTTATATTAAAAAAAAAAAGATGAACTGTAAGCTTATTATCACCCTAGTTAGGATTATTGGTTTTACTTCTGTGTGTATGTTATATTATGTTACTTTATAGGCCTGGTTATCTGAAATTAGGGAATATGCACAAGATGACGTTGTGATAATGTTGCTAGGCAACAAAGCTGATTCGACCCAAGAGAGGCGGGTCAGAAGGGAAGATGGAGAAAAGTTGGCAAAGGTAACTGTGGTGAAAATATAACATTTGTAAAAAAATATGTTAATGTTGGCTCAAGAATAAGGGACTGTTCACATGAAAAATTTATTTTCTAAAAATCTAAAAATCTATTTGCGGTATCTTGTGATCACGGTCTGTGCCCTGAATACCCCACGGCGTAATTACAGGCAGCGCGAGCCAGTTTCTTCCAAAGCTGTAATTAATTCTCAGCGCTGCCAGTAATTACGCCGCGGGGTATTCAGGGCACAGACCGTGATCACAAGATACCGCGAATAGATTTTTAGATTTTTAGAAAATAGATTTTTCATGTGAACAGAGCCTTAGTATAGTAAACATTTACACAGAATATACTACAGATCACATACCAGGGATGATATCAGTGCATTCTATGCTAAATTGGAGATTTGGGAAAGGAAACGTATGATTTCCCATTGTATGTTTGACAAATAATGCACTGCTGCCCCCTACCCCGATATACATGATAGCATACCTTGCTTTTGCTTGGCATGGTATTGTGTAGATTGGGGTCATGAGCATAATTAAATACATACAGTAAGAGGGCATTGTTTTTATCATCATTTCCACGAGTCCGGGTGGGGGGGGGGGATGTTTTAACCGTGCCATTAACTGTCTTTGTATACTTTTGAAAAATAATAAAAATAATGATCCAAATTGTTGTCAAAAGTCATCACTTTTAGCCTTTCACTTGCTTCTCTCTGGAGGGGCTGGAAAAAGTCTGCTCTTTGTAAACTTGAGAAAATGATGATAAAAATGGATGACCCCAAACTGTGTTTCACATTATCACTTTCTTGAATTAAGTTGAGTAATAGTTTCTCATTTACAGTCATTTTCTGTGCATTTTGATCACTTCAGGTGCTAAGAAGTGGGGGGGGGGGGTTTACCATCAGAGTATTGAATGATATCACTGGTGCTAGTGTAGGTCTCTGCCCATTCATATTACAGCAGAGAAGATGCCACTGTTGAATAACATGCTCTGCTGTGGGGAGAAATCTATATATTACATTTGCTTAGTTTTCATTCAGTATTTAGAGATGTGTTGAATGCACTTTCCAGGACCATGGTGTGGCCTTCATGGAGACAAGTGCAAAAACGGGAATGAATGTGGAGTTGGCATTTATGGCTATTGCGAGGTAGGCAGTATATTGGATTAAAACCTGGGGTGGGTTTCCCTAAAGAACTTGAAACCCAAAGTTGGTCTTAACTCTAATATAAAGATTTTTTAGTCTACTTTGACCCAAGTTAGACCACTTAGTAACCCACTATAATAGTGTATTTTGTTCGTTTTACTAAAGGAAAAAAAAGTGGCCAGTGTTCAAGACCCACAGTCACCTAATTTTTAATGGAAGACCATGTACAAAATTAATCTCAATTGACACAGAGCAAAATTCAGTTTGAAAGTGAGGTGCAACCTTGCATAATTTTTTGAGTTCTTTTGTGGAACCAGGGCCAGGCCTTGAACACCCATATTTTCAGAGATAAGAAGGAAACTGACCTCTACCAAGTTTGAACTAAAAGCCTGGACCTATCGTAGGTCTCAGGCCCTTTTCACATCAAGTGGAACCTTAAACTGGGCTGGTTTACTTTGAGAGATTGACTACTATAGATCTTGCTAAACAGTAGGAACTTGTGACATGGAATGAAACCTCCTGGCTCCCTGTAGAGTTTTCAGTGGTGTGACCTCTCAAAGTGGACCGGTCCAGTTAAATGTACCACTCAATGTGAGAAGGGTTTTAGGTTCTTTTGTGAAACTAGCCTCAGACCATTGCACATGGTTATTGTGTTAGGTGAGCAGTGTTTGTTGCAATCAGGTGTTTTACAGAGAGAGTTAATAAAGGGTCTGGACAGACTGAAATACAGAAATACACAAGAAACAGATGTGATATTTTATTTTTCTATGCCAATTTCTATTGGCCTGATGTTCATATTTATCTCAAAAACATTCCAGAGACTTGAAAAACAAGCAGACAAGAAACCCAAATGATCCCAAGTTTTGTCTGGAAGAATATGTTGATCAAGAAAAACAGAAGTCTGGATGCTGTGGGTGATGATCTTGAGAGTTGTGAAACAGGGAGACAATCAAGGCAACTGACAATGTATAATATATTTATACACAGAATGATATATATTTATGTATATATAACAGCTATACAACAGAGAGTTTCTCCCAGACTTATTAAGATATGGCCACAAGTAGAACTGTAACAGAGAACAACTTAGTTAAAAATTGGCATTTAGGAAGAAAATATGTTGAACGCAGAAAAATTATTTCATCCAACTCTGGGTGAAAGCAGAAAATGTGCGTTAGTAGTATGAGTTAAGCATTTTAAGGCAGTTAATTGAAATCTTCCATTCTCTCTCCAGGTTGTATGGGGATAACATACCTGTTGAGCAAATAGCTTGTATAACTTTTTTTATTGCTACCAATATTTAATTGTTGTTCATATTTGTCATTAGAATGAAAAAGAAATGGATATAAAAACTGAAGGTGCTGGGAGCCACAAAGCTCCATTATCTGAATCACAGACATTTATGAAAATTTTCATTTTAGGGACACCAAAGACTTTTGAAAGGGGATTTTTTTTGTCTGGTTTGATCATTGTAAAACTAAAACTCAATAAATCTAGAACCCAAAACAGGCTAAAAATATTATTTTTCAAAAGATGGAAGGCAGCCTTCTTGAGGCTAACAAATCTTGGTACAGGTCACTCTAATTTTATTTAAATCGGGAGAAATTTAAATCTATATTTTCCATTTTGAACTGCATGTTCTTCAGATGCTCAATAAATAAAGGTAAGATCTAAAGTTTTAAATGAAGCTTGTGTTTGCCCCCCCCCCTTCAGAAGTCTTATTCATGCCTTCATTAACATAATTTCTGAAAAATGTTTTAAAAAGTAGCAAAACTTTAACTTTTGATGGGAATTTGTTATTGAAATGTGTTGAGAGAATAACATTTAATTTAGTATATAATGTTCTTGTATAATCCATTGCACTATTATCCTGTCATTATCATGTATACTGAAGTTTAATATTTAAGTTGAACTGTCTATGTCCAAAACCATGCCATTCCTTCTTGAGCTTATATCTCAGCCAGATTAATTAATAGGTAGAAAGTATGTAATGGCAAGCTCTCTAAGGTATCAGAACTGTTCCCAAACACTTCAATTACAAAAAATAGTGTTTTCTTGACAAAGGTATGGGATAAGAAATGTGTTATCAGCAAATTGCCTATATAGTCCAGTTAAGTTTTTGGCATGCCCCAAGTTTCACAGATAACTGGAAACTTACATCCACTGGTCCACCAGCTGAGGCATGCTTATAGTGGTCATTGATTTTTAGTAATTTCTGAACTTCTGGGTGTATAAACTGGCTGGCAGCTAGAAATTTCTCCAAGTGGCAAGGGTTACCCCCTCCCTTGTTGGTTGTGAAGACTAGAGATCTGAGCTTTGAGACCAAAGGTGCATTTATTAGTATCCATTTTCTGTGACAGTAACCTGGTTAGGGTTGTTAGGGGGTTATTGTGAAGATATAATACCAGTCAGTGATCTGTGTGTGTGTGTGCGTGCACATGTGTGTGTGTGTGTGTGAAATGCATGTCAGGGAGTGTGAAGCATGAGTGGATATAATGTAAAACTTACTGACAAAACAGTTTACTACAAAGCATTCATGCATGCAATGTGTATGCATGAGATACACCACATCTGAAACCTAAGTTCTCAACATTATTTGTAATATGAATGTCTTTGTTTTGACCAGTGTGTGACAGTTATTGCGCAGGTTATGTCTTTGAATCGACCCAATGTCTCACATTATATAGGTGCATGTTGTATCCATGTATATTTCATAATGCATTTCATAAGTGCTCACTTGTTTCCAGTTTTAGCAAATAAGTTTCAAAACTTTTTAATTGAATATATATATATATAATTACTATTGTTATGTTATTTATTGATTTATAAGAAATCAGAAATATAGATGAATTTTGTGTGGGTATAATTATATGTTCTTGGGGTTAATATGATATATTGTCAGTTCAAAGATTAGTAAGTGAGCATTTAGAAGGTTTCCAAGAAAGAAATGTTTCAGTTTTAACTTCATAAAGTGCAGGCTTGATTGCAATCTCCACAATGAAATCCTTATTTTATTCTTATTAAGATAAGCAGTAGGTGGGACTATAGATGGATAGCAATAGAACATTTACTTCCTGAAATTAGGAAAACAGTTCCTCTTACAAGTAGTTTGGGTTTCAATCATACTAAGTGTGGCTCCAGCAAACATAGTGAAAACACACCTTAGGTTGAGTACATATTGTTAGGATTTGTATATCATAAAGCAATGATTTGGTGCTATGTGACTTGTTGTGTGAATCTATGAGGTGTTATCCATGATGAAATGTATAGCTGCTTTGAGTATTATCCCTTCCAAAATTTTGAGTTTATAGGTGATCACAACATTATGTAATGAAACTTGCCAAAATTAGACAGTATCATAATAATGTGAGATACAAAAGGTGGTACAGGTTTTAGCCACTAACTCCTGAGAACTTTTGACATGGTGTGCTTGAGCATACAATGGGTGTTAGACCTTTATAAAGCAAATATTAATTTTCCTGGAAATTTTAACACTTTTTCTAATCATTGAGGTGTACTACATCCAAAATCATCCCTAGAACCACGATCCTTAACCTGTGCTTGAGTCTGACTTTCATAATGGAGGAAGAGACTGGTGAATATAAATGATGATGGGAAATATTAAGAACGGAAAAACAGATTTATGGATTGTTGATTTGGAGAGCATGACAAAGGGAAAATTTCTGAATTTTTCAGAAAAATTAATTTTCCATTTTAGCATACCCTTGAATTTACTTTGGTTCTTGGAAAATGATAGAAAGCTTTGAATAAATTTGATTGTTTAAAAGGTCATTTTAAGTTTGACATTCACTTTTTCGTTTACAAATCCTCCTTCAACTTGACAACAATTCTGTTGTAAAACACAATTTAAAAATAGCTTTTTAGTGTTGCATCAGCAAAAATTTTATGTTAAATTTGGGATAACATTTTTTTTAATAGAAATGCAGCAAAAATTGCATTGAACATTAATTTAGTATAATTATTTGTTAGCAGGGGATATGAAATTCATATGATATCTGTCATTAGTTTATTTTCAAACACAGCATTTTGAATTAATTCCATAAGGTGTAATGGATCATCTAAATTGTTCATATGGTACTTTGCAGTATAGAATATCTGTTATAAACTCTTGCAATATACGGGCTGCTTGCATTCCATTCATTTATTAAAACAATTGTACAATTTATTTTTAATACACTTATTATTTTTCACCTGGTTCCATTCACATGACTGTTATAAAAGCTGTGTTCAGCAGGATTCCATTCAGAAATATTCTGAAATAAGTGTTAATTTGAAATAAAACGGTCATATTCGCTTAGTTAGAATTTTATTTATTTTTTTTGTTTATTTTACATTTAATTGAAATAAAGAAAAATATATTTTGGCAAGATCGTACTTTAAGGGCCAGTGAAACATACCATCAAAACTGCTAGCCTATTAGCGTAAGTAACGTGATAGAATCCATTAGATGATTTTGCAAGACACTTTTCCTAGAATCCTTTTAAGCATGTAACCTTGCAAAAAAAGATCGAAATCAATTATCCAAAACTTCTGTATCATTTTAAATGTCAAACTTAAATGTAGTACCCACGACATTATCCAAGTACACAAGGCGAGACTCCCCGTGAGGCAAATCCTGCAACTTGAGTTGTTGGCCATTTACATTACTGCTAACTGATAGAAAAAAGGATATTGTTGCTTATCTCAAGCCAAACATACCCTTTTTATAGGTAGACTTTATTGTCAAGAGCTCTTGACTAATAGATTAAAATTATTCGAGTAGGCACAGACAGAAGATAATGGATTCAACAGCATCAAGTATTACTTACTTATCTTTTTGCTTCAGCAGGAAGATCTGTATAAGTAATACCTAGCAGCAATTAAGTGTGTTTTCATTGTCTGGAATCAGTGTGATACCAAATGTGTTGTGGAATTCTGTGTTACAAGGAAATCAGCAAGAAATGAACTGGACTGAAGTGTACCATGCTGCAACTGTGCGAAAAATGGACTGATAGCATTGATAATAGTAGCAGTCTGCAGTCCCAGGCATCCGTTTGCTTCAGTTGGAAAAACGTCCCAGAAAAATGTAAAGCAACTGAATGGTTGTGGTGCATGCTGCATCAGAGAATTAAAAATTTATCACTAGCATTAGCAAAACCAGGCTGTTACTGCCATTCATTCGGTTATTTCGGTTATTACATTCAATAGCTCAATTTAATCACAATAAGTACAAATACTATTCCCTCATGATCTCAATGTAGACGAAACCCACCGCTAATGGTGTAAGTTGCGTCAGTCCTTACTAAAAACGCAAATTTGCCTGTAAAGACTTCGATTGTATTAGTTGCGCTAGTAAGTGTCACAGCCCAAAACACAATCCATATTATCATTGCGTAAGGTGCGCCAAAAAGAGTCTCACAAAATGCAATTCTGCCTGGAGACAAATGTGATTTTTGTTAATTGCCTCTTTTCGTTAAGGGTCGACGTAAGTCCCAAGAAGCCGATGATAGTTCCAAGACTTAGGTCTAAGGAGGTCAAAGGTTCATTGCGTGTGGTATCATTTTACGTCGTTAGTCAGAAAGCACAATCGTGTCAATAGGGACCAATTATTAACAGGAGCCCGTCTAACATAGGCCTATTGATGACTTGCATAGTTTACATAAACCCATACTGCAATGCGATTTATTGGTGTAATTGGTATGGTTTTGACAATTTAATGTGTCATCATGTTCTAAGATATTCCAAGAAAAGATTCTTAATTGTATTTCCATGCTTGATGTAGTATTGTAGGCCTACTTCTGATTGTGTTCATCCGGCGGATTTAATAAAAGTACCAGCATAAAAACTGTCAGTTTGCCACCAAGGGCAGATTAGAGAGACGGTTTAATACGAAACAAAGCCGAGTGATTTCTATGTCCCTGTATCCCTTTGAATACATATTAAAGACCACTGCATAGTATGATTAATTTCAATGCGCCCCCTACACACACACACGCACAAACACGCACACGCCGGAAACTTTGTAAATGCAAAAGTCATGTCACGCAGAACTTAATTTAAGATGAGTGAATTTTCTTTATTGGTTTCTTTCTTTTCAAATGATAATAACATGCCAGTTTTACAATATTTGTTGTTACTATTGTTTTGATACTGAATATTTTTGAATGAATTTCTATTGTGAAGCCAGAAAATGTTAAATTAGGATTTCTTTTGCGTCATCATGGACCCTGACATACTATGAACATGAACGTTTCTGCAATTCCATAACATAAATGTCATTGTATATTTGAAAATATGTACATATCCCAAAAGACCCTGTCTATGACAATAAATTATCATGTATCAATGCTGGGTTTGAAAAAAAACATCTCATGCTAAATAAATAAATAAATAAATAAATAAATAAATAAATAAATAACAGCAGTCTTAGAACAGCTCTGGATGTTCTAGAATATATTTTAACACAATCCAAGCAGCACGGCCGATTTTATAAAAAGTGTTCTTCCAGCACTTTGACTCGCACACCCGAACCCGAGCGGCCGGGCCCTCCCAGGAACGAATTTGTTCAATTGCATCTGCGATGATTAACTTTCTCTGAGCTTCATCCACGTCTACATCTGGGGTGCTGCGTGTTAGGAGATCTTTTGTCTCCTGAAAGAAATGTTAACTAAAATAAAAAAGTGACTTTTTTTTTTGGAAATGCCAATATTTTAAGTTTTTAATGTAAACGAAGAAGGACTGATGATAAAGATGGTTATTGGAGGGACAGAAAAGGCGGAGGTTAAAGCTATATAGAAATCTAGAACATATTGCTGCTGTAGACAACAAAAGCAAACACTTCTTCACTTGAAAGACTTTTCTTACACTGTTACCAAACTCCCATAAATAGATGAAAAACAAACAAACAAACAAACAAACAGAAACTTACATCTGATTCTGCTACAAGATGATGTCTTTCTTTGTCGTCCTTGTTGTTTTTGTCCATCTCAGGCGTGCGACTGCACTCCTGGGTAACCGCAGAAGATCCTGCGTTAGGCAAGTCTTCCTTGCCTCCTTGTGCAACCTCTAAATAGTCCTCTAGGTTCGGCTCATCCTCTGGTTCAGGCAAGTTTTCTCCTTGTTCAGGTGAGCCTTCGCGTTGCTCCTCTTTGGTTTCTTCGGCTACTTCAATCTGCGGTTCCTCTTCCTTAGTTCTGTCATCTGCTTTGGGTGCGTTTTGGCACTGATCTTCTTTAACAACAGTGAAGACTGAAGCAGACGTGATCTCCCAACCCAGCAGATCTGTGGCCTTATTTTTCTGGGTGACAGCTTCAACAGTTGGAAGATTATAATCTCTCTTCTCTCCCTCGTCTACTTCCTCAGTCTGTCTCCCTGTGTATTCTCCGTCTGGTTTGCCACTCTGGTCCTCTTTCTGTACAGCAGCCTCCAGTTCAGGCTCTTGAGCAGCTACATCGACGGCGGAAAAAAGAGACAGTCCTCCCCTGTCATCTTTCACTTCTTCATTTCCGCCACTCTGTTGTGTCGCAGTAGTCTCCGTCTCGAGCATGACCTGGTCTTCCCTGCCTTTTTCTGAAGAGGGCAGAGTTGGCTGTTCAGCTGACGGGGCAGCAGGTGCAACATCTTTTGTGTCTTCAAAAGAACTGTCGGCACATATTCCAGAATCGTTGATCAAATCATCTGTTGTTTCGGCACTGTCAGTGTCGGAAACAACCGCAACATCGTCGAAGATATCTTTACAGTCTTCAAAGACTTCATCGTCTTCATCTTCGTGCGACTGGTCTTTTATTTTCCTTAGAATTCTCTCATAGTAATCCTCTTGTGGCAATTGCCGGGAGAAATGCATGCGCATAGCACGCGCCCTTCGCACGTTGTTGTCTACAAAATTAGGAGGAAAAGTTTTTCATTAATAGTATAAAATAATATTTGAATTAACGATATCATGTAAACTTATTCCATTTAACGATTGTAATATACCGGTAGGGCGAAACGAATCAGATGAAAAAAAATTAGCAAATGTTTTAACAAATTACATGGTTTAAACAACAAATGAAAGCGCATTCCAGAACAAAACTGAACAATTTTAGAGTAGATAGATACTAGGCATATCTAACTTAATTTAACAGACAACCTTGGTGGCAAAAATGCAGGTCACGCAGTGTAATGTCACAACAATCAAAACAACAATATCGAGGTTTTTCTTAGTACACTCTAGATAAAAATAAACAAAAAATACTGCACTTTTCTAACATTTATCCATGGTTTACTTATTTTTACCTTGTTGTTTACATGACCAGATTAGCTTCACTAAAGTCAGTACAATAAAATAAAGCAGCGAACGCAATCAATATCTTCATACCAGATCTTAAGAACTTACCATAAGCTATTTTCCTCTTGGCGCAATAAACAACCAACCCCTGGGCCAAGAAGCAGAATCCCCAGGCTAAAACCACCAGACCGTCATGTATTGGGTCACCATTGAAGCGGGGGAGGCGCACGTAGATGTCAGTCACTTTTTCTCCTGTCTTCTTCAAAACATAATAGACAAGTGCTGGAAAAAAGGAAAATACGTTCTTCCTGTATGGATAACGCAAGCGTAAGACGGCAACTGTAAAATAGCATGTAAGACTCACCAGACATTGAAAAGATATATTCAAGGTACTATTTTTTATGTACATTGTCAAAATTTTTTCGATTTAATTGCTTTTAAAACCGTTTTAACTAGCATTATATATAGGGTATTTTATTATATACCTACCGTTCGCCGCTTTGATGTTCAAGTTTTGATACAGGTATGTTGTAAGCCTATTTCCAAGGTGCATCCCATCGTGATAAGCCGTTGAAAGTGTATCTGCAACTTTCCAAACGTAGTCGACAGAACCTTGCAAAAAGTCCAGTGTTGGTTGCAGAAAGCATTTGCTGAATGTCTCTTGGATATTTTCTAGAATCTCATTGGCCACTGCCGCCACATCAAACCCTGTCTCGCACATTCTCCTCAAGGCAGGTATCTTGGCGTAACCTTTGCACACTTTATCTCTATACGTTTCTCGCGTGAAGAGGCGTGCGGCGGCTTCAGAAAACATGCCATAACCCTCAGCCAGGGTGGAGACGATGTGTGACGGATATGCCGACGCCTGGAAGAGCAGCGTGCATGCACTTTTGGCATACCAATTGGAATGGCCTCTACATTTTCGTTCTGCGGGAGACTCGGGGACGAAGTAGCGTCGCACGCGAGTGATCCCATTCTCGATCTGTCCAAGAAAACTTTTCCTGAATAAGCCCAAGGCATTTTCCAGCGAGGTTTTTCCAATTTCAACAAATTCCGCAGTATTTTTGACTAGAAATAAAAATGAAAGTACCATCAATTTTCAGTTGTTTAGCGCCAGATACCTGCCTTGAGCGACAGGAAGATGTTTCGCCAATTTTAAAGCTACCTGAACAATTTTGCAAGTGATTTTGTCTCTTTCTAAATCCATACTAGGCTAAAAGATGAAACACATAACCGGTCAAAACACTTTCTATAAGATTCATCTTACCTATCGCCGCTGTGAAAACATGAACTTTGTAGAAACCATTATTGATGACATTCTCAATCTGTTCTTGAAAACCTTTCCTGAATAAGCCGAGGGCATTTTCCAGCGAGGCTTTTCCGATTTCAGCAAATTTCGCAGTATTTTTAACTAGAAAGAAAATTATATTAACATTAGTTTTCAATTACTTTAAAATTCATAGCGACACAAAGTAGTATCGTCAATTTTAAAGGTATCTGAAAAATTTGCAAGTAATTTTGTCTCTTTCTAAATCTATACTAGGCTAAAAAATGAAACGCATAATCAGTCAAAACACTTTCTATGAGACTTATCTTACCTATCGATGTTGAGAATACATGAACGTTGTTGAAACCATTATTGATGGCAGTCTCAAAACTTTGTGTGAAAATCCAATAACGACTTTGACTCATGTTTCTAATATCGTTGATGGTTTCGATCACGTGTTGATGAAACATATAGGCTACACACTTCAAGTAAGTTGCATTCCACCGATGGTGGGGACCGCCTGAAATTATTTCATCAAATAAAAAGGCTTACAATGGCATTATTTTGTTATTTAACATTTTAGCCCTTATTTGCTGTTTTGCCTACCGTCTTTGATGAAAATATCACAGTAAATAAATTTTGTATGTTATTAAGTTTGAATTTCTAAAATTAAAAAGCGCTCACCGTCGCCAGATATCTTTGATCTATCAAATGTGTCTTTGGAAAGGCTCAAAGAAGGTGATGTTTCATTATTTTCTTGTTTCACCACATCTTTTGGAGGCAGTAACAGATTGTAGTTTTCCCTAATTTCTCTCATAGATATCTTTTGATTTAAGACATCTGTCGGACTACCGAGTCCAGAGGCTCTCAGGGAAACATTGATATGTAAGAACACGTTAGTTTGGTCACCGGTGGTTCTGTAACAGAGTGTAAACATTCATGAAGGAACGCACAGACCTACGTGCAAAAACGCAAACATTTGAAAAGAAGTGTTTGCCAGCTATTTCTCTGTAAATTTTCTACTAGAATGCTGACATTCTGTAAGGCGTAAGTAACACATAAGTTATGAATAACCACTTCTTTTTTTACATTTGCTTATATGAAAGGAAACAATGCACAAACGTTGTCTACTTACCTGTCGTTATTTAGGTGAAAATGTAATATGAATAAACCAAGCAAACTCAGTAAAATACAAAAAAATAATCGTAAGATCGACATTATGTAAATATATGTCTTCGCATTTCCATTTTGACTTTGTAACTACGGAAATACTGTGACGTCACATCACTTATGACGGCACAATCATTTTCCAAGACGTGACGTTTCTGCTAAGTGACGTTGTATAGTTTCAGTCCAAAGGACGCATCATCATATCTTTGGTTTTATTTATATATATGATCTAAAAGTAATACTTTCTCTTGAATACCAATGAACGCTGTGGTTGGGATGTGGCACTCATGTGTAATCAATTCATACGCTTTAAATAGTGGAAAACATTGAACAAGGCTGTAGAACCAAGACCTATCGGTGATTTATTATGCATGTTTAATTTATCAAAATTACAGATATCGAAACCATTCACTATCACAGGAAGAGTGGTATAAGAATAGTATACAAAAAGTTTATATAACTATAAATCATTCCATTGTTTATTTTTTTTACAATAAAAGTCCAGTTTGTAAAATCTGCAGAACATGATATTTCCTATACATAAAAAATCCATTTAAATATAGACCAATATTAAAACATTCTCATCGGCATCGGTAGGCTAGTTGCTTCCTTTCTTTCAACAGTTGTATTATTATTATTATTATAATTATTATTATTATTATAATTATTACTCAAAAATCAACAGAAATATTCCAATATACATGTAATAAAAGGAAAGTAGGATAGATAATTAATAACAAGCCATGTGACATTAAAATAAATGATTAAAAAAATACTGCGACTAAATCAATTTTGGTCAAAGAAGGCCAGGATCCAGCCCAAAAAACCTATTGGCCATGGCCTGTAGGTGGCGCACTTGCTGTAGATGTGGTCTGAGGCCCAGCCTGAGAATAACCAGGTGTAGTAGTGGACATGCCATTGTAAAGATCACTTGAGCGTCCATCTGCATCTCTTGTCTCTCCACCGTTGTTCTGTCTGTCTATATCGTCTTGTTCTTGCACGGCTTCATAACTTGGAGGCGCCTCGGCTCCGTACAGGATTTGTTCGCTTGGAACAGCTGCAAGAATAAAAGCAAAAGTTGCGTGAGTGTTAGTTCTTTTTCGTTTGGTGCATCAAATGATTTTAATATTAATGACTTTGGAAAAATTCGATTTAAATTGTGCAACTTGATTTGATTTCACCCTTTATCTGTGGGTTAGAATAAACAGATACCAACCCCTTCATCTTACCCCCCAAAAAACTAAAAAAGTTTGAATATAAAAATAAATAAATAAATAAATAAATGAAGAATAAGATAAATAGAAAGACAAATGAATAAATAAAAAAAGTAAATTAGACCAATATCAGTTGAACATCATATGCAAGACATATTAACGAAGCAGCAGTAGGCTACTTCTGTAAACGTTCCCTCGCCTAGAACCCACCCACATCTTTGTGTCGAATCCTGATGCTCCTTGCCAACAGAACGAAAAAATAAAAACCTACTATGATTGTACGGTGGGAGATCGCACTGCGCGCCCCCTGCTGTCTGAGAAACTGCAGCAATAGGAAGGTGCTCTGGCTTCAGGGTTGCAGGGTAGGTGCCGGGGTAGGTCTGGCCTTGGTATCCACCAGAGGCGAGAGGCATCTGTTGACCTGTATTTAAGCCAGCAGGGCCGGGATAAGGACCCAAAGACGCTGAAAAAAGATTAATAGATCGTGAATTTTAGACATATTAATTTAAAAGAAATAGTTTAAGGGGGGAATGCAACAGGAATAAAAAAGCTAAGACCTTTAATTTAAGATAAAATCTCCAACCTGCAGTCCTCCCTTAAAATAATTATTTGAATAGTTAAAGCAAGGAGTTATAGGCCTAATACTATAAAACTAAATAAACAAAAGAGTGATTACAAAAGACATTTAAACGGATATCGGATTCACATCCGCTGCTTGCATAAAACCATTACTCACCTTTCCCAAGGTAGCGCATTCTCACTAATCCCATGGGGTGGTTCACACTAACCATAGGGTAGAGGGTGTGTCCCGTCTTTTGATAGGTGAAAGCCAGGCCCCAGTACACGCCACCATCCGTACCAAAGGCCACGGTGCACGTGTCCGTATTCACGTACATCAGCACCTTGTCTGGGATGGCCGTGTTCAGAGCGGCGGAGGGGTAAGTAGACTGTACCTTCCCCTCGCGGATGGTCCGTCTTCTGACCATGTCCCAACCCCAGGACAGATCAGTGTGACCAACCAAGCTGACCAGTCCTTGGCTGTCCAAGGGCGCATCTTTGGTCGCAACACCTATAATTAAATAAATGGTATGGGTTGCAATGCCTGAATACAGATATAATACCGTGTTTGAATTAGGCCCGAAATATTCTACTAGTATAACGGTTTTTGCGCCTGTTTTAATAAGCCTGGACGCCAAACTGAGACATTTTAAAGTGATTTTACACAAAATTTACCTTAGCTGATTTTTCGTAGACATAAACCTTTAAAAAAGTGAATAAAGAAAGATTTACATGATTAATAAGGCGTTCTGCTTCTTTTTTTTTTCTTTTTTTTTCTTTTTTTTTTCTTTTTTTTTTTTGAAAAACTTAATGAGAAAAGAACACATGTTTACCCAAACAGGCATTATAGCCTCGTTGATTGGTCGGCCAAATAAATTCGAAGACGTGTTTGCCCTCGGTCAAAGGTTTCCCTACCAAGACGCCGTGTGTACGCTTGATGGGCTGGTTGTATGTTCTTACAATGGAAGTCCCGTCTGGCTGGATGGTAATGCCGTCCGAACACAGGGAGTAGTCGAATCCAACAGCAGGTCCCATAGAGTCAGTTTGAACCGTGTATGTCCAATGGGGAGGCTGTTCTTTGGATGCTAGAAATAAGGGGTATGTTTTTAATGCATTTTTTTTCACAAAAAATAATGAGTCTTCATTGATGAACTTGAATAGCCGACATCGTTAAGTCGGCATTGCGTTATCGGTGAACGAGCTCAGCGATTTCCTCACAATGAATGTACTTGGCATACCTCAGTGGTTTATTGTTACTACTGGAAATGATATTCATCGCCAAGAGAGTCACAATTTAGTTTCATACAAATAACTTTAAAAATACATGTATGTGCATCGCCATGCGACTATTTCTTATTTGTCAAACGCAATGTACCTGTACGTAGTCGGCTAAAATTCTTAACACTTTGTGAAGACCGATTTTTGAATTCAGGCGTTTGGGAGAGTTCTCTAATTATAATTGATATGTTTTAATCTGAGAGATAATACTAGGGCGCCCTTCAACATACACTTTTGTTGGCGTTGTGTGCCGTGAAGCCACTGTTACACCTGGTTTTCGGAGGCTTGGAGAACGAAATTCTGCCCACTACGCCCCCTTCGAAGTTAATACGTCAGTCTAAACTAACTTTAAATATATTACAGCCTTTTCATTTATTACACGTTTGTGAGCGAAGGACAAAGATCATCCTCCAAGCAGTTGCAGCTCGCTGTAACAGGGGCTTTAGTTTCAGATCCGATGCAGGCCAGATTCTTCATATTCAAAAGTTTCAGTTTGTATACCTCTGGAGATTTGAGAATAAACATCAGACCTAAAGCTCAGGTACTTGACTTCATGTGCCAAAGAGTTTACATATCAGCTAGCAGAAATATCCAAAATCAGACAAAGATTAAAAACATTAATTACATTGTGATTCATTTTGTCCAGTATTTAGAATGTCACTACTTCACCATATATTTATCTAAAAATGTATTAAAAAAAAAAAAACAACAAAATGCACAATAGAAAATTTTTGAAGTGAACAAGGTTTGGAAGATGTTATAACACGATCGTGCAGATCTACGTTTCACTTACCCACTTTTCTCTTCCCTCTGTTCTTGCAGACACAATAGGCGATGATAGTAGTGATCACGCCAACAACTACAAGTACTGAACAATAGATGACCCACGAACAACAGTTGAGGAATCTGCAGAACACAAATGTTGAATTACTTTTTCTATACCAGTACAGCTAGTGGTGATAATGAAGTCATGAAATAAGAGCTAGTTATCAATCTTTGCAATTTATCAGTAATAACTGCATTATTTTCTCTTTGATACCAAATCATTTGGAAATGTTTACATCAATAAAACAAATATATTAAAAGACGCAATTCATATAATTCATTTTATCTATAATTTATTTAAAGAGCATTAAGAAATGAATATGTTGGTTCGATAACTTACATGTGAGCATAAATCCACTCATTTTGTGCATTCACCACTGAAAAATAAACACATTTTATAACTGGCAAAGAAGTTCGAGTCACAATCAGAAGACGGGCGTTTTCTATAGTGATGCTTGCTGCACGACCTCCTTGCTTACTACGCTGTGCAAATATTGCGCAAGCAATGGCTTATATGAGAAGTCGATATTGTAGGTTCTTCTCCTGCATCATGTTCTGGTTAGATAAGTAATTGGTGTACTTTCTACTTTGTCTCATATTTATTATTATCAATTCTAAAGAAATTCTGTTTACTAGAAGTACCTGTCATTGTCATAAGTTAAAAAATTCAGTTACCTCGAAATTATCAGTTCTTAAACTGTTTTCACAAGAATCGGTTATATGATACAAGAAAAGTGCAGAATGTTGAAAATAAAGAATTATACATAAAACTACCCCCCATCCCCAAGCTAATGATATTTAGTAAATAAAATACATAATACTAAAATGTTGCAGAGAGCCTCTGGCGTGAGGATTGTTTCAACAAATCATGTTATGAAGATATGCCCAGAGCACGTACAACTTGAAAACGAGCTTACCTGATAAAGTGGCAATGAAAACTCCAGCTGACAAGAGACACATTTTATTATCTGAACGAAAATATCCGTTGAAATCAGTCAGACAGAGCGCCACTCTCTAGTTAGCCATGTTGTTGATGAAGCGAACCGAACGCAGCTGATGGCTCACATTCGTGTTGAAGTTCAGTGAAGCGTATTGACAAATTTACTTAAATTAAGTACAAATTCACACAGTGACCAGGCGACCGTATAAATATTGGAACTGTATGGCATCTTGTGTATATTGTAGCACTGATGTTTAGTGAACGCTTATTAGTATTATTATTATTATTAGCCTATTATTATTATTATTATTATTATTATTATTATTATTATTATTATGCTGATGTCTCATTTAAGCAAATCATGGTCTTCTCCTATAACACCTCTCTTCTTATAGTCATAGTGGTAGAACCCTAAGAAGCAGTGATGTCATTTGATGGACAGAGACAGTATATGTATCTTTTCTGACTTATAATTCTTTCTTTTTCTTTCCCAATCAAGACTTTCTTAAAACACCCCTATTTTATTCTTACGTTTTACGAATTTTAATATCCATTAACGTAAATATTTTATATTTGCTTAAATTAAATTGCTTCAAGTCCAAGAGTTCTAGAAAGGTGCCAAAGTTAAATATAAAAATTGATAATCAGAAATAGTATTTGAATTATATTTCTATAATTTTATTTTAGTTATTTATTTTTTGTGACAAGTTTCGGATATCACGTATTCCTAAATATGCAGTAAATAATGTTTGACAATTTGTCATTGTATATGTGAAAACAAGCTTTTAATTAAATCAACTTTCAAAAAAAAAAAAAAAAAAAAAAAAAAAAAAAAAAAAAAAAAAAAAAAGAAGAAGAATAAGAATATATACATGTATCTTTTTGTATTTTGATTAATTTATTTTAGTAGTAGGCCCCTATTTTTTGTTGAAGGGCAAAAGAACATTTTTAATGGGATGTAAAATTTTTGACACAGTAACTTGCTTTGAAGTAGAAACCCAGCAAGCTGGAGGATTTTTTTCTCAATTTTAGGCCTAAACATACAATAAAAGACATAAAAGCCTTGCTGAGTGTGACCTGTAATAACATTTTTAAATGTCAAATTTGCTGTTACCTAATCACCACGTCAGTGGTGCATTCAATTACAATAAACAATCGTTCATTTTTTATTAAATCACTGCAATTCAAAAGATTCTGGAAAATACAGAACCTATTAATTTGACATTAAATCCTATCACATTAAGTCAAGACATAATTGCTATGCGCGATCACTTTAATATTTTGAAAATAATTTTATTGAGCATCATGCAACTACAAAATGAACCATACATACAGGTATATGACATTGATAGGCCTATACCAAGGAGTTCAACCTTCTTGATTATACACACAACCCTGAGCGTATGTGAAAGCCCACCAACGTATTTATTGAGCAGTCGTGACCAGTTTCAGTAATAACCTCTCACCTAAAATGAGCCCTACCTGATGTAATTTGCATAAGAATAGGTTACTTGTCGCAATGTGAGCTGTCTTCCCGAATGCTTACTTGGCAGTTGGACACAGTCGGGTGTAGACCTAACAGAGCAGCTTGTGTGATGCAGTCACAAGGCCGAGCTTTCATAAGACGTAGAAGCAAATACATATGTTGGTGAGTATCACTATTTCTTCAATAACCACCGTCATTTAATGCTAAAGGCGCAGACGAGTGACAGAATATTTCCGACAAATATTTATAACATGAATCTTTGTACTACTATTTCCATTGTTACTTGTAGGCCCATGTCACTCAGAAAGGTAGAATTTATTTGTTACAATGCATTGAGACTCCAAATGTAAGGAATGAAAGGCGCACTCAACTGAGTTTTTGATAACCTAAGTTTGCTTGATTTTTTTCCCTGCGCTTTAAAGCTTTGGTTTAACATTTTGACAATGCTGATTTCGAATATTTTTGATCTAATTAAAAAAATTGTTTCAAATAAGACTTGGGTATTCTGTTGTTGCTTTTAAAAAAATGACAGGTGCTCGAAGACATTTGTATAATTTGACTGACACGCGCACATGTGCATTTCGAGTCGTCTCCAATGTGCCGTATGTTGTCCATCCATTACACGGTTCACTGTGTGAAAGCTTAATTGTACAACCAAATTATGTGCAATATATTTGTCATATTATTCCAAAAAGGAAAAATGGAAAAGAGATCTTTGTGCTGTTCTGAAATGTGTCAACATGTACTACAAGAAGTGTTATAAGTCTTTATTTCAAGATAAATATATAAAAGGTCGGAGTAATACCCCCCTTCATCCGCAAATGAAAAGAGTTGTGTTATCAATGTTTCTTTTTTGCAAGAAAAATAGTTATATCATTAACTAATTCCAGATCATGACTATGGCGTAGGGCAACCTTAGTTTTTTTCGGCGCTAGCTGAGCCAGAACATCATACAAGTCAATAAACACGCACTCCATTTCAATTATAACCTCTGTGATATTACATGCATTGTTCATATGCCTGTCCGTTTAGTCTGGTCATTTTCTATTTTCAGAAGCTCTACGAGATTCTGCAGAGCATGCGCCTACAAGCAACCTATGATGCCTAGCCTCTGTGTCACACCCAGGAACCCCACGCTCTTTCCTGCTTCTATAATGTGAAAACTGAATAAATATTTATGTAAAACGGCGTTTTTTGATGAAATTATCATGATGGTAGTAATGACATGGTGAAATGAGTTGTTTTATTTCGTGTTTGAGGATTTTCAAATTCAATCTGGCCTGTACATAATGTCTGAATGTTTATGTTATTGACGTTTTCTGTGGTACGTAAAAATATCTAAAATTGAAACAGTTGTAAATGATATAACAAAGACACCGGGTAATTTGTAAATAATAAAAATTGCGCATTCCTGCGGTTTTAACACACTAAAAGAAAATTACTAAAACAGTTTTTTAACAACCTACATTTATAGTTTAAAAATGTATAAATTTACAATCGTGCTTTTGAAAAATTCACTTTGAATTTTTAAATAGCATAAGGGAATTTGACATGCTGGATTCAATTTTCCTATATTTTTAAATATAAGACTGGTCCATTTTCCACCCATTTCGGTTCCATAAATCGATTTATATTTGGTGACCTATTCTTCATATGAATATTTCATTTTGAAATTTAAACAGAAAAATGAAAAAGTGGGAAGATTCTAATGCAACCTAAAACACTTTTTTAATGGCAACAGTTGAAAATTGCCTCTTCTAAATATTTTCAGGGTAGAATGTAGAACCCATTTTTTTCGGTTCTTTAGTATAGTACTTGAATTATATTTCTAAATTCCTTCATATTTTTGTGGCCAGTTTCAGATTTCACATATCCTCAAATGTACGGTAAATAATTTTCATTAATAACAAATTGACGAGAAGCTTCAAATAGAATTGACTTGCCAACATTACACGCCCAATAGAATGGACTTGCCCCACCTGACACCCCCAGATGAAATGGACTCGCCCCACCTGATACCCCTCCAATGAAATGGACTCGCCCCACCTGACATCCCCTCCAATGGAATGGACTCTCCCCACCTGACACCCCTCCAATGAAATGGACTCGCCCCACCTGACACCCCTCCAATTGAATGGACCCGCCCCACCTGAAACCCCCAAATAAAATGGACTCACCCCACCTGACAAACTATTAAGATTTCCATCACATGCCGGCCTCCATGCTACATATATACATGTAGTTTATAAAACTACACAGCAGAGCGATTCATTTTAATATTTAGACAAAATATGATTGCATTTATAATATACTGTTGCTCATCATCTGTGGTTAATCTTTTACTGTGAAACCATTTAATATTAACCAGGATACAACTCTGCTTTGGTGTGTCTTGGCGATTACCCCGTAGTGACATCTGCAGGGAAATTGGATCAGCATGGCGCTGCCGGTGCGGAAGCAGATAAGCGAAGAAGATACTGAGAAAGAGAGAGAGCACTTCAGAAGAATTATATGTGCATTTAGACACTATAAGTAAGTACTCCCCTAGAAAAGCTACATAGGTGTGCAGTGCAAATACGCATTTCTTCTACATAGAGACAATGCATGGCATGAGCTCTAATGAGATAATGAAAGTTCCATGTCGATTGCATGTTATAAATATCGGGTGTCCCCATGATTTGTCTGGTTATTGAATCCAAAAATCTCTGAAAACGACTTAGAAATACCATTCTAATCTACCATTACTGAAAACAACAAGAATAATCGAACTCGGTAAAGTGTCTTAAGATAATTTAATAAAATTGCTATACTGTATGTGTACTCCCGTATGATATATATGTACCGTAAAACAAAGACCATAACATAAAGTACAATTATACTATTTAAAGACGTGGTTCGAACTATGTGGTGTTGCATTTGCCCATTTGTAGTAGAACTTAATATTTCTGCTTCCTGAGCATGAACTCAAACTGTTTATTGATGGGATATTACGAGTATATTTTTAGTACTAAAACTACAAATGTACATGACAAAATGAATAAATTGGCATATATCATTATGCTTTTCAGGGACCATTCTTTACAGAGAGTATTTACAGAACAAATTGCCTACCAGAAGATTCCTGACCACCATAAAGCCCTGATTCCAGACTTCCCCAAACACATGGATGAAGTGAGGCACTGTATTGCCCAGAATTATGAATTGATAAAAAATATCATCAAGAACACAAACCACATGTTTGAAAATGAAGAATTTCCTGCTGAGGTATGGGTGAGTTTAGTTAGTTTAGTTTAGTTTAATCAGGCCTTTAGCCAACAACTAAAAAAGGACTGGGTAGGGGCCAGTCTTTTTCTGAAAATGGGGTATATATACATGTACTCCTTAACTCCCTTATAGTTGACCCCGCTGGAGACTCAGTGTGGAAATTTTTCAATGGAAAGGGCAATCCATTTTAGTAAGATCACTTAAAGGGATAATAACTCTTCGTATGAGATCTATATTTCACAATAAAAACATTGTGAACAACTCATAGAAATATAATATATTCTGTGTTATAACAAAAACGGCAGTTATAGCTATTATTCTGATATCTGAGCTTGTCTTCAGACCATTACAATCTCTTAAGAGATTTTAACAAAAAACCAAACTTTTTAGAAAAAAACAGGGACTAACTTTCAATGTAAAAATGGATTCATTAACCATTGGTAAGTATGGGAAAATTGTTGTTTACTCCAGGAAATTTAATTTTTTGGCCAAAACGAAGAGTTATTATCCCTTTAACCCCCTTTCACTACAATTATAATAACAGGATAGTGAATAATATCTAAACACCATTCCATTTCAGAGTGACATACTGCAGAATACTCAGAGTAATGGAGAGGAGACGCCTACAAAAAGGGCCCCCAGCCTTCCAATTCCTGCAACTTTTGATATGGACAAAGTTAAAACCACTTTGAAACAGTTTGTCAGAGACTGGAGCACAGATGGAAAGGCTGAGAGAGACGCCTGCTATAAACCAGTACTGGAAGAGATACAGCGGAGGTTTCCACGAAATAAATGGTGAGGTACTGATGCACAGAGGGCGCCTCAGGTTGTTTCTGGTTACATTTGCTGATAGAATGTTTTTTTATGTCTTTCATTGACATGTAATGTGCAGTCAGAGACATAAATAATACACCTCTTGCAAATGATCATGTATAAATTACAATTGTTAATCCTGAAACCAAAATTACAAGCCTGTTTCTCCATATATAGATATCTTCAAAAATGTGTTACCATTCTTGATATCTTGACATTTTGGTTCTGCAGTGGTTATCAGCAAAATTATTCCAGTAAAAATGTGCACATTTTATGAAAAGAGAAGCAGTATAGTTCCATGTGCAGACATCATTTTTCAAGCTACTTTTGAATTGATATATACTAGTAGGTATATAATACCTTGGTAAAACTGTTTTTATTGCAGTAATCCCTCCTCAGTATATGTGCTGGTCCCAGGGGCAGGTTTGGGAAGATTGGCCCATGATATAGCAAGACTAGGCTACAACTGCCAGGGCAATGAATGGAGTCTTTTTATGCTTTTTGCTTCACATTTTGTCCTGAACAGGTAAAGGAAACTCCCTAAGATGGATTGACAGATGCATGTCAAGTTTTACATATTGGAAGGCCACCCTTGCTCAGTATTACATTTTTGCTCAGTAAACATTGCTGTTAATTATGATTCACATAATGTGAAGTTTAAAGTTAAATTATGAAATTATTTTTATGATATTTTTTACATGAAAAACACTTGCTCAGGAAGTCTAAAAAAAAGTAATGTCAGTCAATGGTATTCACATGAAAACCAAATAAGTGAATGATTGATATTTGCTGTAGATTGAGGAGATGAATTCTGAAGATAAAAAAAAAGAGAGAAAGGCTGTTCATATTGGTCTCAATCACATTTATATTTTTTACTCTCATTATCTTCATAACAGTTTATTTTTTTGGCATAATTTTGCACACAATTCAACTGTCACATTTCAAATCAATGCATGCTACAGACATCATATGATAACACTTTTTCTCACGTAATTGTTTAGATGCCACAGTATTGAGATCTACACTATCCATCCCTGGGTTCATCAGTGGTGTAACAACATGTCAAATGCGGATCAACTGAAAGCTGTGAAATTTCCAGACATCAACCCGTCAGAGATGCCGTCAAAGTCCGAGTTCTCCATGGCCGCTGGAGATTTCCTAGAAGTTTATACAGAAGCAGGTAAAATTTTTATTTATTTTTATAAGAAGTGGGTAAAAGTTCAGCTTTTCTATCAAAATAAAAGAATTCGGCACATTTTACCTTTAATAGAAAATGATTTCATCAGCTGTGTTTATCACTTAACTTTAATGATATTTTCTGTAATCAGCATCTGTGGCCTCATTCCACGCTCGGCTGTCACCTTGATTGGATAGTAAATGATTGTCGTAAAATCGCAATATGACTTTAAACCGAGTTGCCTAAAATAAAAACCACCTAGAACAACCTTAGACTGCCACATTAATCTAATACAATGCAAAAAAGCCCTATCAAACCGAATGTCGTAAAGTTCCCATGTGCCCCCATAGAAACAATAAAATAGAGTAAGCTTGTGAAACAAGATTCCAGAAATTTTAAGATAGTAATCAAAATAAAATACTGCCAGGCATCCAAGCGGCCTAAAACTTGTCACACTTACCACAAATACTGCAGGCTACATCATCCCATCGCTCGTTTGTAAATCCTGTGCATGGCATACACACAATCAAACCGTAAACCAAAATTCCCACCTTGACGTTTAAGTCGGTCCTCTCTACCTTCCAGTTCAGGAAGTGACGTAACCGCAGAGGTCGCATTACAAATACCTGTCCAATGGCATGGCTTCTTCTTCGTAAGCCCCATGTAAAATCATATAGCGATTTTACAACAATCGTTTAGTATCCAATCAAGGTGACATCCAAGCGTGCCTCATTCCTTAAAGAAGCTGCTGCAAGAGACATAAAATTGAGGAACAAAAGCTCCAATTATGTCCGTTGATTAAAGAAACTGTCATAGTTTTGAGTGTTTTCTTTTGGTGTAAATGTATGTAAGTAGAGGTAAAAGTTAAAGAGGCACGTAGTTGCGTATAGAGGAGCAGATTCACTTTACCCAAAATCTTGCCATCTAGGAACAAATATAAGACTGAATGTGTATGTTCTCTACTGCAGAAGACAGCAACTGTGGTTACATGACAGTGTCTTTTTTTTTTTTTTTCAGATACGTGGGACTGTATAGCAACAGTGTTTTTTATAGACACAGCTCACAATGTGATTGCCTATCTGGAGACAATATGGAAAATACTGAAACCAGGGGGTTACTGGATAAATATGGGTTAGTAACACACTATGGTCCATTTGACAAAAAACAACTAAAGACTAAAACCAGTCTTAGCAAAAACTGCTTAGAATTTTAGCCTATTAAGGTGCATTTTAATAAAGATTTATATGCTTGGTAACCTCTTCTTTTTATTTCTCTTTAAACCAAACCCTTAGAGCAAATTGTGATTAACTTGTAAATGATTGTCATAGGTGATAATAGCACCTTTAAGTATGTCAGGTACATTTATTGTGTACTATCATGAAACACTGTTTATGGTTTATTTTGGAAAGCTAGTTACCTTTGAAGACATATTCAAGAAAATTCCCAAGTTTGAGTTGACATGGTTTTGCACAAAGCATAGGGACCATTCTCAGACACTATATTACTAACTGTTGTAAATTGCTATCAACTTCAGCAGATTGAATGTCTGTCAGGCCTACTGAAGCCGCTAGCGGGTAATTAACGATCGTTTAGCAGCTTCAGTAGGCGTACAAGACACCCAAGTCTAAGTTATAAATAACTGACCAAAAAAATTAATTATATACTCTTTTTAACAGTTTTTAAGGTTTTAATTCTTAAAATCAAGCAGAGATTTTTTCATCTATTTATAGGTCCTTTGCTGTATCACTTTGCCGACATGCCAAATGAACTGTCAATAGAGCTCAGCTATGAAGATGTCAAAAAGGTTATACTGCAGTTGGGCTTCCTTATCCTGGTAAGATTGAATATTATACACTATAAGGTTTTAAGGACACAGAAACATGGAAAGGTAACAGTTATATCTGTTAAAAAGAACATACCAAGAAATTCTTTTTATTTTTTATTATCCAACTTTCATACAAGGTGAAACTTGTCTTCTGTGATAAACACTACCCCAAGTGCTTGTTCAGTGCTGCCACTGCCAGGACATTTGTGTCAGTAAAATATAATACAACAGCGCCCATGTAATTAGAACACCTTGAGAGTCAGAACCTTAATTTTTCTTTGTTTCAGGAGGAGAAGACGAATATCAAGTCTGGGTATACAGAGAACCCCAAGTCTATGTTAAAGTATGTCTACGACTGTGTGTATTTTGTGGCACAGAAACCATTAACTGGTAGCTGACAAAACTGAGTTATAGAATATCTTACAGTTCTCTGACAATTCCTCGTAGACTACCCAGAAGACAACTTTGATCAGTAACCCTGCTGAAAGGTCCTTTGACTTCTTAGCATTTTTGTGACAGTGGATGTCTTTTTTAATCTTTGGTGTAATATGTCAGCTGAAGAACTTGCATTTTATAAAAAGCCAATAAAAGATATCTAACAAGAAGTGATTTATTCCTTTGCCTTATTGTTCAAAATAATGTTCACTTTTTTTTGAGTATAATAAACACTAACAACATTTTAACTTTTTACAACACCACCAGTTAAGCAAGTTCAGTTGTCATACATGTTTTTAAAAATCATGAGACTATTTAAAATACAAGATAAGATCATATCTGAGATGATAAAAATCCATACTAGCCATAAAACACTTCCATATTTTAACATATATATTGATAGAATGAACTTACATCCAATGAGGTTAAAAATGTTATTCCTAAAATATCACCATTTCATTCCAATTATGAAATACATTAATTTGTGAAATAAAATCAACATTTCAAAAGAGCACCAATCACTCCACCACTTTGACTGTGTGTACATTGGGAGACCCTAAGTGTACTGGGCCTGTCTGTCCAGCTATCTTCCTCTGAACTATCCTGGGCTGTGTGGGACCAGGTCTCTGTAATGGCTGACCTGATCTTGGGTACTGCATGGCGGTGGCATGGCCAATTGTTTGCTGCAATTGGAAATAATTATATCAATGGTCTAATAAATAAATAAGCATTAAGCCGTGCATTTACTCATATCTTGAGTACTGCAAGGCAGTAGCATGTCCAAGTCTTGGCTGGAATGGAAATAGGTAAATCATACAAATCATATAAATTTCTAAAAGTATGTTGTTGAAAACCACTTTCCTGGTGAAAATAAAAGAACATATCTATTATTGAAGATTGTAAATAAATTATGTTAAAAATAAATTTGCTTACTGTGTAATAGATGTTATGCACCCAGACGTTGCAATTTTTTTTGCAGAAAAAGAAGGTCATTACAACCCCAAAACTATTAAAATTCACTTACTTTCACTACAGGTTGATGTCTTTCTACTAAAACTGAACTCATAGGTGGCGCTAACCCCATAGTGGGTATTTCACCACCTATGCGGTCACCTCTCCTTAACACGTCCGGCCTTGCTGAGACTGTTGCAGTCACTGTTTTACCCTTTAGACTGGACGTAGGTCTGACCTGCTTGGACATCTGAAAGTACAAGACAGATATGGTTCCATTAGTGGACTAATATCTTCAAATATAACTGAGGTACTAATGCCTATCATTAGGCAGTATCAAGTGTGCATATAAAGTAAGGGGTTGCAAAAATAAACACTTGCAGAACTTCAATCTTTCATTTCTCAAAATTGATGCTATTATTCTACACAGTATCATTTGATAAATATTATAAGGAAGACGAAAAAGGTTTTAGTTCACTAGCTTTGTTGATAACCTTTGTTAGAAAAATAGAATGAGTACTCAATATTTACTAAAATGTTTTTTTGACACAAAAGCAGCAATACCTGTGGTCTTGCTGTCTGCGCAACATAAGAGTGTGAGATTGCAGCCTGACTTGTGACCACTCTAGGCTGGGCTGGTGCTGACGTAGATGTGAGATGGGAGGGCAACCTCTGCTGGCTCTCAGTGCTGTATACAGGTTCCTGGGGTATGACCAAACCACCACCACCACTGCCCCCATCCCCTGGGGATCCACCATCACTCTGACCATCACCTGAATATATGTGATAGAAGCATCCAGTGTAGAATTTTATCGGCCAAGTTAAAGCCTCATTAACTTTAATAGCTGTTCAATTACCATTTTGAGCTATTTATGTGTATTGAAAACACTAATTTAAGCTGATTGAGGAAACTACAACAATGACTAGATATATCCATTGATTGTTACAGTAAATGAAATTACTTGTGTCGAGACTAAGGACATTTATTGGAGTTGTAAGAAAACTGTAACTGATTCTCTTAGATAACCTAAAGCTTTGACCCATAAAAGAAGAATAATTTTATTGACTGGTTACTACTTCACCTTGGCAATATCAGTATTTCACCAGTCCAAGAACCAACCCCCTACCCCAAAGCTTTTATGCAGACTATACATGAAATGATTGGAATTCATGACCAATAAGATGACAAATCTTAATCCATTTCAATTACCCTGGCCATTTCCATCTTCTCCTTCATGGAACATTGACATGGCTTCCAAATTCAAGGCGCACACTCCCCTCATGAAGGCCTTCTTCATTGTCTCCTCGTACTTTTCCCTCTCAGCATGCAGCTGGCCGACTTCTGTTCTGGCTGCATCCAGTGCTTCATTCAGCTATGGTATACAAACACAATGACATAATCTCCAGGATGTTTAGTTGATGCTTATTTATTGTTATAACATTCTAATTGCTTGGAACCTATATATCTACTGACCATAAACTGACAAAAATCACACAAAAAAACAAACAAACAAATGGATGAATTTCCTACAAAACCTGAAACAAGGCCTCAAAGTTAATGACCTTGTACCAGACAGTCCTAAAATGCACTTCACTTGTTTGGCACTTTGGTTTAACTAACAAATTCTCTGACTTAAAGAGCAATCTCGGGAAAGAGCACTTTAGATAATTTATCAGGAACTTAGATGCTGTACTGCAAAGAAAGTATAAGCTTGAATTACTCAGTAAAAGGTGCTTCAATACACAAACAAGGCAGCAAAGCTGTCAAATGTACAGACAAAAAGCAGGAAATAACAAAAAAGGCTACTGTCAATTCTGATGCAAAAGTACATTTTGTTAAACTGCAAATTCAACATCAAATTTTAATTATGCTCAACAGGTAAAATACATCTGTGTCTGTACATAAAAACGGCATTTCTTTAAAATAATGGCCCGATTATGCTGATTTTTGAACTCAACCTGCGATTTAGCAGGAATGACCACTCCTGTGAGTTTAATGACAATTGGCCTATATGTTTTTCTTATATTGTGTTTACAGTGTTGCATATATGCTGAAAAGTGAAAAAAAAAGCATAACTACTAAAATAGTGGCCCGATCATGCCGATTTTTGAACTTGACCTGCGTTTTAGTAAGATCAATTACTCTGCATTTTAGTCCTGTATTTCTTTTTG